ACAAGCATCATCCTTTGTGTAGTCTATCAGTCACTTGTCAATATCGGGCATTAATTCACAAGATTCCTGTCATCGTTTCCTCATCAAAATGTCATTAGCTCTTATATGTTGGCATTTCTCCTCTGGGTGAACGTACGATCTAATGTGTGTATTCTGTAATGATGTGGTCCTGTAGGTGAGGGCTTAGCTGTGGATCACGTGTATAGGAAATATTACAGCATCGGGGATGATTATGCAAATGACTTACGAAAATTGTCGGTGATAGACGTCTTTTCAGATTAATATTTAATATAAAAATGAGACCATAAGGTGAGCCAGACACGAGTTGTTTGTCTAGAATGAAATTTTATTATTTACTGTTCTACTTACTAAGAATCAGAATTGGTGTGATGATGGCAGTGTCTGGTGGTGGTACCATCGATCATTGATTTTGCTTTGATTCAGCCAGAAGGTTTCCATCTCACATGATGGAATAACAAGGCCAGCTGGTAACTCACTGCAGCTATATTACTAAGAGAAATAACCAGATTGAAAAGTTTCAGGAAACGTTCAGTCAATTTACAGGAAAAAACCAGTCAAATTTGTGGCGGGAGAGTAAGCTCAGAGAGGTGGAGTGTGAGGCTGTGTGAAAGACTCGCTGGTCAAACCTTCCGCTATAATACGAAAATAGTAAAAGGCCATTCCAAAATAATTATTTTAGCCTTGAACATTAAATTGAAAAAAAAGCAATTTGTTAACATAACCGTGGAAATACTTTTTGTTTATGATCTAAATATTATATACTGGCATAATTTACAGAGCTCAAGGACACTTCTCTTGAGTTCGTCTTTAAGAAGGATATGGACTTTAGGATTCTAAAGATACTAGAAATAATATTAACTATTCAACTCAGTACAAGATACTTTCTGATGTAAGTGTGCTCAAAGTGTTGGTACCTTCAGTTATCATGGACAGAGACTATTGTTATGTTAAATAAAACCGAAGAAAATATTGTTTATAAATGTGCAAAGCCTAAAAAAGATGAAATATTTTGATATATTACAAGGTCAAGCGACAGGACATCTATCAACTACACTGATATAAATATTAAACAATATTCGAAGTGAAAACGCTATGGTAGCATCAGTAAAGTTAGTCAATATGTAGTGTTGTTTTGAGATAATTCTCACTTAGTCTTTAAAACTAATGATGTTCTCTTGTAATATTGAGGGCGACTTTGTTGTTATTTATGACGTCTTAGATAGTAATGGATGGTTCACTATCTTGGTCACTCCTCTTCCTCTTATCATCCTCTTATCCATCCTTTGTTATCATCCTCTTCCTCTATCATCCATCCTTTATCATTCTCTTCCTCGATCATCCATCCTTTGTTATCATCCTCTTCCTCTATCATCCATCCTTTATCATCCTCTTCCTCGATCATCCATCCTTTGTTATCATCCTCTTCCTCTATCATCCATCCTTTATCATCCTCTTCCTCGATCATCCATCCTTTGTTATCATCCTCTTCCTCTATCATCCATCCTTTATCATCCCTCTTCCTTGATCATCCATCCTTTGTTATCATCCTCTTCCTCTATCATCCATCCTTTATCATTCTCTTCCTCGATCATCCATCCTTTGTTATCATCTCTTCCTCTATCATCCATCCTTATCATTCTCTTCCTCGATCATCCATCCTTTGTTATCATCCTCTTCCTCTATCATTCATCCTTTATCATCCTCTTCCTCGATCATCCATCCTTTGTTATCATCCTCTTCTCTATCATCCATCCTTTATCATTCTCTTCCTCGATCATCCATCTTTGTTATCATCCTCTTCCTCTATCATCCATCCTTTATCATTCTCTTCCTCGATCATCCATCCTTTCTTATCATCATCCTCTCATCATCCATCCTTATCATTCTTCCCTCGATCATCCTTATTATCATCCTCTATCATTCATCCTTATCATCCTCTCGATCATCCATCCTTGCCATCATCCTCTATCATCCATCCCCATCATTTCTTCCCTGATCATCCATCCTTGTTATCATCCTTCCCCCGATCATCCATCCATCATTCTTCCTCGATCATCCATCCTTTGTTATCATCCCTCGATCATCCATCCTTTATCATCCTCGATCATCCATCCTTGTTATCATCCTCTCATCATCCATCCTTATCATCCCCTTCTCATCCATCCTTTGTTATCATCCTCTCCTCTATCATCCATCTTTATCATCCTTCTCGATCATCCATCCTGTTATCATCCCATTCCCATCATCCATCCTTGCTATCATCCTCTCTATCATCCATCCTTATCATTCTTTCCTCGATCATCCATCCTTATCATCCCTCTCTATCATTCATCCTTATCACCCCTCGATCATCCATCCTTGTTATCATCCTCTTCCTCTATCATCCATCCTTTATCATTTCTTTCCTCGATCATCCATCCTTGTTATCATCCCCTCGATCATCCATCCTTATCATTTTCCTCGATCATCCATCCTTGTCATCCTCTTCCATCCATCCTTATCATCCCTCGATCATCCATCCTTGTTATCATCCTTCTATCATCCATCCCTTGTTATCATCCCTTCTCATCATCCATTCCTTTATCATCCTCTTCCTCGATCATCCATCCTGTTATCGTCCCCTCCTCTATCATCCATCCTTTATCATCCCTCTCCTCGATCATCCATCCCTTTGTTATCATCCTCTCTCTATCATCCATCCTTTCTTATCGTCTGTTCTCTCTAGGTCTCTCTTCACCGTGTGTATCTACCTTGTTTACTACTGTCCCTCCTTACAGCTTCTTCCTTTATTATTTGTTCCCACGCTCTCACTTACTTTGCTTTATTCTTATTTCTTCTCTCTTACTTCTACTTTTATTTTGTCATTTGCTTTTTTTTTCCGCTCTTACTCTTTCGTAGTTCGTGAAGCTTTTATTCCCCATGACCTGTACGTCTGTTGTTGTCTGTTGAAGGATATTTATCGTCAGGTAAAACAACCAAGTCAGAATCACACCCACCTAATACAGAATACACGTCCCCACACGTTTCTTTCAATCGTTTTTTGTATCCCTTTATATATCTTATCTTTATATTCTTAACACTTCCTGTTTCTATGCTATGGTTTCTGTATCTTCTCTCCTAATTGCTGTCATTATCCATGCAGTATATCTCTCTCAGTGTGCACAGTTATCGACGTGGTTATGGATATTGCCATTTACGGTACAGTTAAATATATATGTCATTCTACCTGACCCACATCACCTGTATCTTCTCCCACACACCACAATTCAACACACCACTGTTGTCCCAGTATTTTACTTGTACCAAAACACACATTCAACATCCTCCTGTCACACTCCACTTCCTATTTGCTCAGCTACTGCATCATCTCCACAGTCAATTACTTTCAGTTACCTTCCCTTTACCATAGTCTCTTGTTCTGTCAGCCTCCCTCCCTATACTGTGTGTAGTGGTACTGCTTCCGTCTGCCTTTGTGGGTTCAATTGTTCTTAAATTATTCTTTTATTTTCTTGACATCATCTCGTTTCCTATTATCTTCTTGTTCTTGTTATTTATTAAAGATGTTTGGATAACTTTGACTTTCTTATTCTCTTTTTGACATATTGAAGATTTTATTCTGCCTTCTGTGTTTTTCAGTCTTTCAAGTAGTTTTTGTTTCTATCTCTTTTCCTGTTCTATTTTCTCCTGTACCAACACTGCCTCCTTACCTCCTGTTATCTGTTTCTTCTTAGCCTTGTTCTTCGTTATTATCACGAGCTTCTACTTCAATCTTCCATCACCATTGTTGTTTTATCCCTTATTCTATCTTCCTTCATTTCTCACCGCTTTCGCTCATTTCCTCCTCCGTATTCTTCTCTCCTCTTGTTTCCATTACTCTTCTTCTTCCTAATTTGTTCATCCTGTTTCCTGCATTTTCCAGTTATCTCAAAACATAAGTGGCATATACAGGGAGCCCCGTGTTCCCCTCGTGATAACCGGCAGCAGTCCTCACTTTTACTACGGTTAACAATTATATAACCTGTTTATATTTTAAGAAAAAACAAGGTAAATTTTTGGTTATGAGACGATGATTATAATGAACGAACATAGTAGATTAACATTGGTCATGTTTATTGAAATAGGTTAGGTTAGATTAGATTAGCTCGGTTAGGTTAGATTTGGTTATATGTTTAGATTAGGGTTTGCTGATCATAGATAGAGGTGGGGCCACGGTTCATGGTCAGTTGTGTGTCTGTCTTTTATTTATATTTTTGATACAGAAGCTTAACTCATCATGCCGGACTGTAAGTGAATTAAAATAGATCCAAAGACTCCGTCCTCAGCTCCAAGACGCGTCCTCAGCTCCCAAGACTCGTCCACAGCTCCAAGACTCGTCCTCAGCTCCAAGACGCGTCTCAGCCCCAAGACTCCGTCCTCATTCCAAGACTCGTCCACAGCTCCAAGACTCGTCCTCAGCTCCAAGACTCGTCCTCAGCTCCAAGACTCGTCCTCAGCTCCAAGACCTCCGTCCTCAGCTCCAAGACTCCGTCCTCAGCCCAAGACTCGTCCTCGGCTCCAAGACTCGTCCTCGGCTCCAGGACTCGTCCCTCGGCTCCAAGACTGTCTCGGCTCTAAGACTCGTCTCGGCTCCAAGACTCTGGTCTCTGAGCCCAAGACTCGTCCTCGGCTCCAAGACTCGTCCTCGGCTCCAAGACTCGTCCCCGGCTCCAAGACTCGTCTCGGAGCCCAAGACTCGTCCTCGGCTCCAAGAATCTGTCCTCGGCTCCAAGACTCGTCCTCGGCCCAAGACTCGTCCTCGGCTCCAAGACTCGTCCCTGCTCCCAAGACTCGTCCTCGGCTCCAAGACTCGTCCTCGGCTCCAAGACTCTCCTCGGTTTCCAAGACTCGTCTCGGCTTCCAAGACTCTTCCTCGGCTCCAAGACGCTGCCTCCTGCTCAAGACGCGCCCCGCTCCAAGACGCGTCCTCGCTCCAAGACGCGTCTTCGGCTCAAGACGCCGCCCGGCTCCAAGACGCGTCCTGGCCCAAGACGCGTCCTCGGCTCCCCAAGACGCGTCTCGGCTCCAAGACGCCCCGGCTCCAAGACGCGCCTCGCTCCAAGACGCCTCGCTCGAGCCTCGGCTCCAAGACGCCTCGGCTCCAAGACGCGTCTGCCTAAGACGCGTCTCGGCTCCAAGACGCGTCTCGGCTCCAAGACGCCCCGGTCAAGACGCTGCCTTCGGCTCCAAGACGCCCCGGCTCCAAGATGCCTCGGCCCAAGACGCTGCGCCTCGCTCCAAGACGCTGGCCTCCGGCTCCAAGACGCGTCTCGGTTCTGCCTGTCCTCAAGCTCCAAGGCCTGTCTCGGCTCCAAGGCTCGTCTCGGTTCTCCAAGGCCTGTCTCGGCTCCAAGGCCTGTCCTCGGCTCTGCTCGTCTCGGCTCCGCTGTCTCGGCTCCAAGGCGCGTCTCGCTCCAAGGCGCCCTCGGCTCCAAGACGCGTCCTGGCCCAAGACGCGCCCTCGCTCCAAGACGCGTCCTCGGCTCCAAGACGCGTCTCGGCTCCAAGACGCGTCCTGGCTCTTAAGACGTCCTGCTCCAAGACGCCTCCCGGCTCCAAGACGCCCTCGCTCAAGACTCTGTCCTCTGCTCCAAGACTGCCCGTCTCGGCTCCAAGACTCTGTCTCGGCTCAAGACTCTGCCTCGCCCAAGACGCGCCTCGGCTCAAGACTCCGTCTCGGCTCCAAGAGCTCGTCTCGGCTCCAAGACTCCGTCTCGGCTCCAGACTCTGTCCTCGGCTCCAGAGATCGGTCCTCGGCTCAGACTGTCTAAGGTGTCTCGCTCCAAGACCCGTCCTCGGCTCCAAGACCTGCCTCGGCTCCAAGACTTGTCCTGAGCTCTAAGACCTGTCTCGGCTCCACAAGGACCTGTCCCGGCTCTAAGGCTCGTCCCGGCTCCAGGCTCGTCCTCGGCCCAAGGCTCTCGTCCTCGCCCAAGGCCTGTCCTCGGCTCCAAGGCTCGTCCGGCTCCAAGGCCTGTCTCTCGCTCCAAGACGCGCCTGCTCCAGACGTCCCGGCTCCAAGACGCGCCCTCGCCCAAGACGCTCCCGGCTCCAAGACGCGCCCCGGCTCCAAGACGCTCCTCGCCTCAAGACGCCTCGGCTCCCAAGACGCGTCTCGCTCACGTCCGGCTCCAAGACGCCCGCTCAAGATCGCCCCCGGCTCCAAGATGTGCCCCTCCAAGACGTTGTCTCGGCTCCAAGACTCCGGCTCCTGGCTCCAGATTCTGTCCCGGCTCCAAGACTGTCTCTGGCTCCAAGACTCGTCTCGGCTCCAAGACGTCTCGGCTCCAAGACTCTGCCCCTCGGCTCCAAGACTCTGCCTCGTCTAAGACTGCCTGCCTCAAGACGTCTCTGGTTCCAAGACTCGCCCGGCTCCAAGACTCGTCTCGGGCTCCAAGACTCCGCCTCGGCTCCAAGACCTGTCTCTGGCTCCAAGACTCCGTCCTCGGCTCCAGACTCCGTCCTCGCCTCCAAGACTCTGTCTCGGCTCCAAGACTCCGTCCGGCTCCAAGACGCGCCTCAGCCCAAGACGCGCCTCAGCTCCAAGACGCTGCCTCAGCTCCAAGACGGCTCCTCAGCTCCAAGACGGCCTCAGCTCCAGACGTGTCCTCAGCCCAAGACGCGCCTCAGCTCCAAGACTCGTCCACAGCTCCAAGACTTCGTCCACAGCTTCCAAGGTTTGCCCTCGCTCTGCTGTCTCGGCTCAAGGCTCGTCTCGGCTCTAAGAAGCTGCCTCGCTCCAAGACGTCTCGGCTCTAAGACGCGCTCTCGGCTCCAAGAGCGTTGTCCAAGATTTGCCTCGTTCCAAGACGCTGCCTCGGGTTTCAAGACGCCTCGCTCCAAGACGCGTCTCGGCTCGACGTCTCGGCTCAAGACGCTGCCTCGGCTCTGACGCCTCGCCCAAGACGCGTCCTCGGCTCCAAGACGCCTCGGCTCCAAGACGCTCCTCGCTCCAGACTCTGTCTCGGCTCCAGATCGCCCTCGGGTTCCAAGATCTGTCTCGCTCCAAGACTCGTCTCGGCCCAAGACTGCCGTCTGCCCAGAGCTCGTCTCGGCTCCAAGGCTCGCTCGGCTCAAGGTTCGCTCCTCGGCTCTGCTCGTCCCCGGTTCTAGGCGTTTCGTCTCTCGGCTCTGCTCGTCTCTGTTCTCCAAGGCTCGCTCTAAGACGCGTCCACGTTTCCAAGACGTCTGCTCATGACGCGCCCGGTCCCAAGACGCCTCGTCCAAGACGCGCCTGTTTCCAAGACGCGCTCCTCGCTCCAAGACGCTGCCTCGGTCCAAGACGCGTCTCGGCTCCAAGACGCGCCCTGCTCCGGGCGTGTCCCGGTTCAAGACGCGTCTCGGTCCAAGACGCGTCCTCGGCTCCAAGACGCGTCTCAGCTCCAAGACGCGTCCTCAGCTCCAAGATGCGCCTCAGCCCAAGACGTCTCCAGCCCAAGACGCGTCCAGCTCCAAGACGCGTCCTCAGCTCCAAGACTCGTCCTCAGCTCCAAGGACTCTGTCCACAGCTCCAAGACTTGTCCACAGCTCCAAGACCTGTCCACAGCTCCAGACGCGCGCCACAGCTCCAAGACTGTCCACAGCTCCAAGACGCGTCCACAGCCCAAGACGCGTCCACAGCTCCAAGACGCGTCCACAGCTCCAAGACGCGTCCACAGCTCCAAGACTTCGTCCACAGCTCCAAGACTCGTCCACAGCTCCAAGACTCTGTCCACAGCTCCAAGACTTGTCCACAGCTCCAAGACTCTTCACAGCTCCAAGACACCTAATTTGACCTTGATGAAATATGAAACTGAAGAGAAATCTTATAAAACCGAAAATACCAGATAAAGGAGATACTACTAAACACAGGTCATGATTACAGTTGTTCAAAGGGAGGTATGACTTTAAATGAAATATCTCAACTATGAATAAAACCAATTTGGCTTAACTTAAAACCTTGGTTAAGAATGAACTTAAAGAAATAGTTTATTTATGAAAAACGGATTAGCCTCTAACGGTAATAATCATTGACTGTATCTCATAATTAGTGCGACTGGCTTTTAATGACACACGGCAGGAGGTCCTTGGAGCTGGTTCATAAATAATTATAAATAACTCTTATCAAATGGATATAAAATTAACTAATATTTCGAAAACTGAATTATTCCTATTGAATGGATTTATAAAGTAGGTGAAAGATAAATGTTATAGTTGGATAAGTAAGTAGTTAAGGTGAAATTGTTTACTGGGAGGGTTTGGGACCCCCACTAGTTGTAAGGTCTTGTCCTCCTCTCTGACTATTTTCTGCAAGGAAGGAAAACTGAAAGGAAAAGACGTAGAACAAGTTAGGTATACAGAATACTGGGTTCCTAGTTATGACTATAAGCCGCCTTCTCACACCGGGAACTCTGCTTCACAAACGTAGCTGATCATTTGTTACATTCCTCTCGGTGAAAAATAAGAAAAGGATAATAGGTGTACTGTCCTAGAGAGGTCCTCACAGCTGTCAACCTCCTCCAAGAGATCTTCTACTTGACTTCTAACTTGTGAATATATTCTTTAAAACATTATTTATTTCTTATTAACAAATCGACAACCTACCAAGTCTTAGCATAACTGATCTACTGGTTTTTACATTTTGTTAACACACACACACACACACACACACACACACACACACACACAGCCAACCATGATGAGCTTATATGATATGCGAGAAATTTATGATATTTTTTCTTTTGCAAATGTTATGTTATACATATTATAGGTAAACGTTTCATACTAATATTTAACTTGCCAAAACTCGTCTTAGCTCACACATTTTATTTCTTAAACTGTTTTCGCAAAAGCATTTTGCATTGAAATTTTTATGACAGGAACTTTAAATAACAGCGTCTTTGATGTTTTTCCCCGAAGCTGTTAAATGTTCAGTTCCCGTATAGTTTATGTTGTATAAAGTTGGCACCAATTTGACCTGTAATATATATTATTTTAACCTTTCATTGTTTGGCGGCGGAAGGTTGTTGACGGGCGCCGCCCTCTGATGGTGTCGGGCCTTGGTGAGAACCTGCCTCATGGTTCACACCTGTTTATAAAGGTTTTACACTGCAACTTTATTTCTGATTTTTTTCTCTCAAGCTCCCATCCATTTGACGTTAACACCCAACAAACAGGCTCAGAGTTGACCACTGCTGCCTGGCGGGTCACTTCTGCATTATTCTGCTTCATTTTTGTATTTGTCTTAGTTAACATTGCTGTCTGGAAAATGCCCAATTAATTCATAGTGTTTGTTTTATTAAAATTAAAGTAACAAAAATGATGGCAGTGGTGGTTATGGTGACAGTGGCGGTGTGATAGTGTTGGTGATGGTGGCAGACGGCAGACGGTGGTGGTGAAGACGGTGACGGTGGTGGGTGAAGACGGTGACAGTGGTGGTAATGATGACTGGTGGTGATTTTCATGTCCCCCTCTTGCTGGGATCCAGACAAATTAATGTAGAGAGAAAGAGAGAGAGATTTAGATTCCGTCTATTAGTTTACTATCACACACACACCCACACAGAGCTTTCTGTTCCATGGGGAAGCCACCAATAATGATTCTGTAACGGGTTTACCTTTTTACCTGTAACTTTAATGGATCTCTATTTATTTCCCCAGTTGAGGGAACAGACCTGAATACTCTGGATCTCATACCCGGTGAATATTTTAAACACGAGCCTCACCACAGGCCACGGCAACAAATAGCCAACACAGACTGGGAGAGATTCATGAACACCCCTCCGTGTTTTAGGAATGACTCCAGGAAACAGTTCCCCATCGCTACAAGTACAGGCAAGAATTTATGCACCGCGGATGTGTGGGAGATATCTTGTTTTATTGTTGGTATTTCCATTATCAGAAAAATACAATTGATATTATAGCTTACAGTCACAAGTGTGATGAATCACTGACAACAAATGCAAATAGATCTTATATATTTATATAAGTGAATTAAACACAATTAGATGAATTCAATATATATCACCAGTCAAGATATAAGGAGTAAATAAAAATATATCTTAGTTTAGAATAATTGCTGTGAAATAACAAATGAAAGAACATATTTTACCAGCAAATAAAAAGTAACATTACACACGAGGCAAAATAAACCACACACGCAACTCTACTGTGGAAAAATGTATGTTGGATCTCCATTTATTTATACTCGATACAAGTCTCTAACTGTACCAAGTCCGTGTCGAGTCTGTACCAAGTCAAGAATTGCTGAGTCAGGCTGAGAGTGAAATGGTTCTTGGTGGTAGTGGTTCTGAGGAGCTGTAAAGGAGGTTGTGTGGTTGGGGCTTGTCGCAGCTTAGAGATGAATATGTTCTACTCATCTGTTTCTTTTTTTTTAATAGCATGTACCCCATACATAACTGAAGAATGTTATTTTGTCCATGTAGAAATACGTTTTGGAGCCTTTTTCTGCATTTCCAAAGTTGCCGGAAACAAGTTACATTCAAACTCTACTTCTGCTCGTTCCTTATTACGGGTGTGTTCAGCTATACGCACTGCACCTCAATTTCAAATATTAATATAATATTCAGTCGGAAGTTGTAGTAAAAACATATTTCAAACACATATGACCAGGGTAAATTATCTTCAGAACTGTGAAATTGGCACAAAATTATATCGTCAACTTTGGAGACATCATATTACACTTTTCATGACGGGTGATGGCTGTTATAATTTTTTACAACCTTTGACACACGCACGCCTGGGGTCAAAAATTCACTCCCTCCCAAACTGGAAGGCTAGCAGTGTCGACCCCCAAAATGAGATAAAATGATCACACCTGCACCAGATGACAGCGTCAGGGTAAGCTGCCCGAGACTTATTCCCGTGACTAGTTTCATCACTGGGAGCGAACTTTGTCCACGACTGTGCAGCAGATATCTTCTGACCTCCGGTAGATATACAACTAAAATGTTTCGGCTGATCATCATAAATAAGAAATATTTCAATCGACTTGGGAGGTGAATATTACAAAGAGCTAGGAGCACTGTACTGTGTGTGTAGGATGACGTGACTCCTCCCCGTAATGCCACGAAGACTACATAATCGAACATCTAAATGGACTTCCTTTAAGACATCCAAGCTTGAAGTCACTCCCAAATTATGAACGATTTTATGAAAAAAAATAATTCGTTGAAGATTTTGCCATTGTCTTCTTCCTGCCTTCCTCTACTAACTGATCGCCGGACTAACATCATATTCAAGGATGTTTTTTCTAATATATTTCAATTTCATGTAATAGTTTTCTAATTTATCATACCTGCAAGTATAAGATTATTACATGGTTTAACAGCATTCTATTATACCTTATCACTTTTAGGTGGGAAAGAAAGATACTATTGAGGCAGTCTTTCATCGGTAGTGTTATCTGTATATTCTCAAACTCCAATTCAGTTATGGTTTGTTTCCTATCAGGCAGTGATGCCTAACTTGTTATTTCTCAAGATATGTAGTAGAACCTAATTATGTAAAACAATAATGTGTGTATTTTCACTGTGACCTTTGACCCATCAAATATAAGAAGTAAAATAATAATGACCCCAGAGACCTGACTGACACAATTAATTATATAATTCTGGTCAGCACATTTAGTTTATCTAAATCTCTCTTATTTTCATGAATTTTGACTCAAGTTTTCAAAACAGGGAACCTCTGTAGTGCATTGATTTATGGGCCTCTAAGTTATTTATTTGGGTATATTTTAAGGAACAAAAACAGTTTTGGTTTTATGGAATCATGAACATGTTAATAAAGCATCATGTTGCCTTTATGATTGTATTATAAATATTGAAAAAAAAACTTGTGGGACTATACTGTATATGTGTCGTGTGAGGAAGCCTTATATACTGAACCCTTCCAATAAGTATTTTAAAGTTGCACTATATCGGTAACTTGTATATATGTTATCACTAAGTATACACGTATATTCTCTCTACACTTCATTATTGGTGTGCTAAAACAGCGGTAACGTATATATCATCAATATGTCAAGGGTTCTGGGACCTACCCGGGACACATGTGATAGGGTGTTACCCAGTGTGACCCTCACTACTAAAACATCACAGGTTTCCCGGACTCGTGTTTCTTTTCCTGTACTGGTAACATTGGCTAGACCAACTGCCCGAACGGCTAGTTGTATGATAAAACGTTATATATGTAGCTTGATCTGTCACTGCCCATAATGCCCCAGGAAGGTAACTGTTACGTGTTGGGATTTAGAATAGCAGAGTCTACCCAGATCCCAAATAGGCAACAAAAAAAAAAAACAAAGACAATCGACTATAAAAGGTAGACAAGGATGCGAGTTTTCGCTGTGTATAATAAAGTACTCATAAATTCCTTAACAAAATAATCAGCTTCCTATAAATTAATTCTTTAACCATACTTAACCTAAAACATTAACAGTATATACATATTTATATAAAATAATTTGAAGCTAAGTGGATACAAGTGTAACAAGATTACAACACTTAAGTGGAGCTGATGGCTGATTTGTTAAGGCTGAGCATTGTAGAAGACGGTAGCTCACCTGCCGAGGTTTGAGACAGGTGATCCCAGGTCACTTTCAGAGTGAAGTGCTTCTCGAATTGGAGCGACAAAGAAGACTTTGAGGAGGTGACGCAACAACCAGGATATGGAGATGGGAAACCCGGGAGTGGTAAATTCAAGACGAGTCATACTCGTGTTTCTGGTCCCAAGATGGCGTTTGCTCGTGGTGCTGGGTAGGCAGATCA